CTTTTTCAATTACGAAAATGGCATTTTAATAAAGATCTCTCAAAAAGAATTAATGAAATGATATTTGAAAGCGCACCATTGTCATTATTAGAGGCTGCTTTTAGATCAGATTCATTGTTAGAAATGTCATAAGATTTTGATCTTAATTTATGTTATCTTTAGCAAAACATAAAAACTTGACTCCTTTATTATTAAAGATACCTTCTAATTATATAGCTGAATTGTTCAAGTAACTTAAAAAATATAGCACAAATATTTTTATCATGTTTAAAAACAAATGAATTATCAGAGAAGGATTAGATTTCAAAGTAAATAGCAACAATAATTTTGGAGACAGACACATGTGTTTAGGATGCAATAGAAAGATTTAAATGCAGATAAAGAATTAGAAGAAGCAAAAAAGTATGAATTGTTAGAGATATTGAAATTACCATTAAATGAAGCTTATAGATTATTATTAAAAGATTTAAGATTTGATTATGTTTAATTTAAAGGATAAAATCAGCAATATTAATATTATTATGATAAATAAATAACTTAAGCTCCGATCCAAAATTATCAACAATTTTATAAGTTTTAGTGTCAACATAAGCTATAATAATGTCAGAGGATTATAATTTAATGAACCAGGTTAATAGGATGGAGAAATGAAGAATGAAGCATATTCAAATATTGTTAGATTTGGTAATATATAATATGCAATGATTGAAAATATTAAGAATCAACCAGTAGGATTTGAAACAATAATAAGAAGACATTTTCATTTGAAAAGAGTTGAAATAAAGGAGGAAGTAAAAAAATGGATTTAATTTGCAGAATAGAAATAAGTATTATATACTGGATTGAGGGGTGATCACAATAGTAGATACTGTTCTAAATAGTGATGACTTCTTAGATCCAATTCTAAAAGATAGTGATAATATTTAACCATTAGAGCAAAGTCTATTACATCTAGCATATAGAACACTATTATATATTAATGGAGATTTATCTAATCTTCTTGATTCTATTCAGATATTTGATAAGGGTAATTTTATTTCATAAAATTAAAAACAAGCTAAATATTTAGAATACTATCTCAAAATGTTTTAGAAACCTTACTCTTTACCAGCATTTCCTCCATTTTCTGCTTATTTATGAGACTTTGTTTCTTAAGTAATTATAAAAGCTCTCACTTATAAATTTACTCTTATTATTTTGATTGTATTGAAGTCTTACCTTTCGAAATATGGGATGAAATTGGGAATCAATAGGCTTAGATCTAAGATTTATATCAAATTTAATAACAGCTAAAGAAGCTTTAACTAAATTAATTGGAGAAGATCTCTATTAGAAAATTAAAAACACTCAAATATTTATGGTTGGATGTGGTGCTATTGGATGTGAATTACTTAAGAATTTTGCTATGATTACTTTAAGTATTGAAGGTCAAATTACAATAATTGATCCAGATCATATTGAAACCTCCAATTTAAATAGATAATTCTTATTTAGAGAAAAAATATATTCATAAACCTAAATGTTAGACTGCAGCAGCAATTATTTAAATGAATCCTCTTCTTAAAGATAAATTAATTGCTAGCATGGATAAAGTTCATCAATAAAATGAAAGCATTTTTAATGATTAATATTTTGAAAAGATGACACTTCTAAATTATTAGCACAACTTCAAGATTCGAGATATTTATATATAGATATATTTTTAGAATTAAATTATATTCATAAGAATTCAAAAAAGATTGTGATATGAATGGTCATATCGATTTTATTCATTTTCTAGGAAACCTTAGAGCTTTGAATTATGACCTTGATGAAATGGATTGGATCACTGTTAAATTAAAGGCTGGAAGAATAGTTCCAGCATTAGCTACTACAACAGCTGTAGTAGTTTCAGGATTGTAGACTATAGAATTAGTTAAAGTCTTAAAAAAATGTAAATTAGAAAATATGAAGAAGGGCTTCATTAATTTAGGCGTTCCAATTGTTTAGTTAAATGATCAAATAAAAGCAGAAACAATCAAATTAAATGAAGATGCCAATGTTACTCTATGGGATAGATGGGAAGTCAAACTAGGAAAAGATTTCACTTTAGAGAGTTTATTCTATAACTTAAAATAAACTTATCATTTAGAACCATCTAATGTTTTCAAATAATCTTCAGTTATTTATATGCATGATCTTCACAAAGGATAGACTCTATTTACTTAACCCATAATTGAATTGTTAGATGTAAAGGTAATGCATTTTAATATTTCTTTAGACTGACTATGTTGATTTAGTAATTAATTTTATAAAAGATAAATAAATCTTAAAGAATGTACCTGAAGTTAGAGTCTACTTTAACCAATGATGTTTATTATTATTGATTTCCTTTTTAGTTAAGAAAAGGCCTACCAAAATTTATTTATGATGTTACTATGAAGGTTATTGGAAGAATAATAAATAAAATGGAAAAGAAAGATTAATCCATGGGGAAGGAGATGTTTATGAGAGAGATTGGAAAGATGATAAAGCCCATGTTTATGGAAATATATATTTATCATTTAATTAGGGCAAATTAACTACTTTAAATGGTGGATATTATATAGGTGAATGGGTCGAGGATAAATAAAATGGATAAGGAAAAGAACATTGGCCAGATGGAGCAAATTTTGAAGGAAATTATGTTGATGGTGTCAAATTTGGTTAAGGAGTATATGCAGTTGCAAATGATTCTTAATATATTTGAAAATTTGCTGATAATTCTTTTTGTGGTTGTGGAATATCTAAATGCTCTGATGAAACTAAATATATAGAATATTCGAAATTAAATAAAATGAATGA